TTGTGTCATCGGCAGTGGCCGAAGGACGCGTCGCTTATGTGGAAATTGGAGAGAGATGGGGAACCTCGGCTTTTGATCGGCATAATGGGGCGGAGGTGCCAGGGGTGCGTTATCTTTAGCGGTGACGCAGACGGATGGACATTTGCTGCTCAAGTTCAGCGCTGAGGATCGTGAAGGGAAGCCATCAATGTTTTCTGAGAAAGAAATGTGAGGATGATGGGAAAGGGATGGGATAAGGTGATGGGAGACATTGGATGGTGTGGTAGGAGGAGGCACATTGGAGGTGGTGGTGGTATCGGGCCGAACGCTATCGCTACCTTGATGCGGTTTCTGGCTGGCTGATAAGGAATCTCCCGGGGATCCTGATTGACTTGCCTTGTGTTGGTGTCTCTTATCAGTCTGGTTTGTGTGTGCTTACGGAAGATGCCCGGGAGTGGTGTCTCGACTCATGAGGATAGGACGCACGCGCTTCGGTGCGAGGATTCTCGTTGTCGCGATTGTGTATATGCTCATCTGGGTGTTTGGCGATCTCATGTCTTCCGAGATAGGATGGCCGGCACGCTGGGGATTAGGGGAAGCGCGCGTGTGAGAGTGTGAGTATGGATGATGGTGGTTTCGTGGGTGGTGAAAGCAGCAAGCTGGCGAAGCGCCGTTATCTTTGTAGGTGGAGCGGGAGCGCGGTTGCTTTTGAGGTAAGGGTACGTAGTCTGGGTTTGGGGGAGCGCGGTCTGGGTGTGATGTGAGTGGTTGAGAGGACACTCGGGGACTTGGAGACGGCGTTGGGGTGACGGGAGAACCAGTGATCACGCGTGCCGGCATGAGGTGAAGTTTATTTCTGGGAGTTGGGGTTTGTGGGGTTTGAGGGACTGGCGTAGCTGGATTGTGAGGCTTATGGAGATGGTTCTTGGCAGAGGGGATGTTGTCTTTTCTGTTTGAGGGGTTCAACAGATGGTGGTGGTATTTCGATGTTGCTGGTGATGAGTACGCATAAAGTTTGTCTGCCAGCTCCAATCGACCCAGTCCCAACAAGATGGCAGACCAGACGTTCCTTTTAGGTATCACTGCCGTGAAGGCGGACGGCATGGCTTGTACGGGCTTAGGCCCGGGCTCACCGAGCCACACCCTGAGGAACTGTGAGGCGTTAGGATTCGACAGCGATAAGGTGCTGCTGCTGTCAGTGTCGCTTCATTTCTCCTGGGAATACCTTAGCCAGGGTCTCACTATCCCGGGTGCGAACCGCTGGCTCGTCACCCAAGCTTTCCTTCCCCCTCACCAGACCGCGCTACAGATGTGACTGACATGTCGCCCTAGGCCGAAAGGGCTGATCGTCGTTGCAGCTGCTGGGCTCGTTGCAGCGCAGCTCGTCGCGTGTCTGCGGAGAGAGGGGGGGAAGGGGGGATAGGTAGGTCGCATGACATCACGGGCTGTAAAACAAGCCTTTCGCTGCTGTGTCTTCCCTGCTACCGATCCTGCGGACCGCGGTTGGGAGCGCCCGGAGAACTATCTAGGTGTGAGTGTGTGTTACCTCTGTTATCAGCTTGCAGCATCTCAGCTCTCGCGGCTATTCCATCGGAGAGGGAGGGACGTGTACGCCAATCCGCGGGCTGTTTGATATCTATCTCAAGTGACATGCTCATGATTCAGTCAGGCACACAGAAGACAGAAACGGACAGCCAGAGAGACATACACATCCACCCAACCGAAAAGCCCCGGGCGGACACTGCTGATACGCACGAACCACCTAACCCCATAGATCCATTTCTCTCAGTCCACATTCGAACATGACCCCCCTGGGCCGAAGATATCGCTTGTTATGAATGATTGCCTTGACAAGTGCCTAAACCCAGCCCAGCTTCACAGAGCGTTGTTGAAGATAGTCGTGTACCCGCGGTTGCAAGTTTGTGTTAACATCGGCCCGTAGATACAGCTTCGTCTCTTGTCTACGGACTAGCACTCTTCCACGCAGCCAGCCGCACCAGCGAACAGGACATCAAGCCCATCTCGGCCAATTCAACGTGTCTCTATCTATCTGCTCGTCTGTCTGCTCTCGGTCTGCGGGGCGTGGGGGAGAGGCTAGCGTGTTGGAACTGGGTCCCCCCTCACGCACCCCCCCGATCCCGTTGCATTGGGGCGCCGCCGTAGCCCAGGCCCCAAAGATGGATCTCCTCCGTTTCTGTGTCATTGAATTGTGTCCTTGGTGTAGTTGCTGACGGCGTTGTGTGTGTGACTCGACTGGATCGACGGCGGGCAGACCACGGCATAGCTGGGTTTCCATGCTTGCTGTCTCTTTCTCCAAATCTGCCGGGCATACTAAAAGAGTCGCTTAACCCTCTTTTCCCCCCATTTCCCGTTTCTTCCCTTTCCCCAATTGAAGCTCGCGTGAGTGCGGTTTTATCCTTTTTTATTTTGTATCCTTTACTTGTATTTTAATACAGCCGGGCTTCTTGTTCACTCCTTTTAAACCGGCGCTGTTCCCCTGCGCACGGCACCTGTCAAACCGGCCCAATCCTCCCGATCCTGAGCGAACCGGTCGACAGCGGGATTACACATACACACATCCCGACCGCTTCCTCCGACCTCAACGTCGTTCACCGGAACACACACCTCGATACCGAACTCACACTCCAACACCACCCATCATGTCGGATTCCATCCGCTCCGTCTCAATGGGCGAGGCGCCGCCTCGCGTCTCGGCCGACCAGGCCCTCGCCCGCCTGGGCTACAAGGCCGAACTCCCGCGCAACCTCTCCATGCTCTCCATCCTCGGCCTCTCCTTCGCCATCATGGCCGTGCCCTTCGGCCTCTCCACGACCATGTACATCACCCTCACCAACGGCCAGGCCGTCACCGTCCTCTGGGGCTGGGTCCTCGTCTCCATCATCTCCCTCTGCATCGCCGCCTCCCTCGCCGAGATCTGCGCCGTCTACCCGACCGCCGGCGGCGTCTACTACTGGTCCGCGATGCTCGCCCCCGCCGGCTGGGCGCCCATGGTCAGCTTCGTCGACGGCTGGCTGACGTTGGTGGGGAACTGGACCGTCACGCTGAGCATCAACTTCAGCGGCGCGCAGCTCATTTTGAGTGCGATTAGCATCTTCAACGAGGACTTTGTCGCGAACGAGTGGCAGACTGTGCTGTGCTTCTGGGCTGTGATGCTCGTGTGCGCGAGTGTGAACGCGTTTGGGTCGCGGTATCTGGATTTGATCAACAAAGTCTGCATCTACTGGACCGGCGCCTCCGTGCTCATCATCATGGTCACGATCCTGGTCATGGCGCCCAGCAAGCGCTCTGCCGAGTTTGTGTTTTCACACTACGATGCTTCGGCTAGCGGATGGCCCTCCGGGTGGTCCTTCTTCGTCGGTCTGCTTCAAGGTACATCACAATTTGTATAAAGACTATGAGAGAAAATGAAGCTAACATGGTAAAACAGCCGCATACACCCTCACCGGCTACGGCATGGTCGCCTCCATGTGCGAAGAGGTCCAGAACCCCGAACGCGAAGTCCCCCGCGCCATCGTCCTCTCCGTCGCCGCCGCCGGCGTCACCGGCGTCATCTACCTCATCCCCATCCTCTTCGTCCTGCCCGACGTCACCATGCTCCTCGAGGTCGCCAACTCCCAGCCCATCGGCCTGCTCTTCAAGACCGTCACCGGCTCCGCCGCCGGCGGCTTCGGCCTGCTCTTCCTCATCCTCGGCATCCTCATGTTCGCCGGCATCGGCGCCCTCACCGCCGCGTCGCGCTGCACCTACGCCTTCGCCCGCGACGGCGCCATCCCGGGCTACAAGCTCTGGAGCAAGGTCAACCACAAGCTCGACATGCCGCTGTGGGCGCTGTTCCTGTCCACGGCGGTCGACTGCGTGCTGGGGTGCATTTACTTTGGCTCCTCGGCGGCGTTTAATTCGTTCACGGGCGTGGCGACGATTTGCCTGTCGACGAGTTACGGTGTGCCTGTGCTGGTGAACCTGATCCAGCGCAGGAAGGCGGTGGCGAACTCGCCGTACCCGCTCGGCAAGTTCGGCACGCTGATCAACTGCATCTGCATTGTGTGGATCGTGTTCGCGGTGGTTATTTTCTGCATGCCGGTTAGCTTGCCCGTGGACGCGTCGACGATGAACTACGCGAGTGTGGTGTTTGCTGGGTTCGCGTTCATTGCGGTTGTGTGGTACTTTGCGTACGCGAGGAAGAACTTTCACGGCCCACCGGTTGCGAAGGAGGAGTTCCAGCCTGGTGAGGATGGGGTTATGGAGGGAAAGGTGCCGGCTGGGGCTGTTGATTCTGAGACTACGGGTAGCGCGGAGAAGAAGTAAGGGGATGGATGGAGGATTGCGACTTTGTGATTTGTGATACCACTTTTTGAGAATTGCGGCTGAGAGCTCCTATACATTCGTAAGAAATACTAGAAAGACGGCTCCACTTGAATCACAGACTTCCATAGGATCCAGAAATATGATGTACTAATAATCATAATTTGCTCACTATCACAAGCTGATTGCTTCCAGGTAGCTAAGTTGAGTATCTGACGTGATCCACTAATGGTTCCAGTTTCAATTGTGCCGAGAACACAGACCAGGAAATAGAAACTGTTAAAGACGACAACGCCTGGCCACTACTGCTTCGGTCCAAGGTTTTTGCTCGGCGTCTACTAAAAATCAGCACGAGAAGGCTGCGATACGCTCCCTAGCTGGGATTGATGTAGAGTTTTGCTAGTCGGGCAGTGTCATTCAGCTATCCAGGTAGTATTGACACACATATATATGAACAATATCGCCTATTCCTAAAGCGACTATTCCTTTTCCTATTCTTGTTCTTCTTATTATTATTATCGTTATTTATTGTTCACATAATCATCGTTATTATTATCCTTATCAGTACTTTTATTATTCTCTCTATAACTACAGATCATAGGGGACACTGCCCGACTAGCAAACCTCTTGATATACACCACCTCCTTTCCCTCATTTGAGACGGTTGTTGGCATAATATCCATTTTAATATGACCAGTTCAATATGAAGAAGTTCTCATGATAAAGAGGTCTTCTCTTCTAGTAATCCATGCAATATAATTGTCATGCACTCGTGTTGACACCCAATTCCGAGGATTGCCGCATGCCCATTCTGGTGGCAGTAGCACCACCTGGCGATCGTTTTTGATTATCCAGCCTTCGTCGAGCTTGAAAGCATATCCATACCATCCCGATAGGGGTTGAACAGTTTGCGGTGACGAATGGACAATTTGAGATATGGCAGATTCTTTGAGATATGCTGATGCGTAATCAATGCAAACCTTTCCAACGGGCAGTACCAGTGCTTTATCATCATCTGAGAAAGCAAGTGGAATACATTCAAATGAATATACGCCAAGAGTGAGGAAGGAATTTCCAAATTCAATGACATGGATCACCGCACGCGTAAGCAGCGACCAAATCTTGACAACGTCGTTTTGACCTTTTGCTCTGGCGCACGCCTCCACTAGTTTTGAAGAGTCGTTCGAGAAGGCTGTTGAAAAGTGGCCGTGACTTCTGTTGATGTTGAGCCTGTTCTTGTTTTGGTTGTGAACAAGCCATAGCCAGTTGAACCCGCGTTCATCTTCGCTGTGGCTTTTCGTTGTCTCAAAAAGGGACCATAATGAGTCTGGTGAGAGGCCCATTGCGTATACCTCGTGTGAGAATCGATGGGTAACCTCTGTCTCGGCTGTGGCCATAGAATACGTTTTCACCTGCGACCTATACTCCGTGTTTGACTCTTCCGTAGTACAGTATAAAAGTGTTTTCCCATCTTTTGGCATGATCAAAGGACCAATACCATCTGCGACGTGCCCCAAACGTTCGCCTGTGAGAAGCCAGTAAATGGCAGCTCCCTGTGGTCCTGACGCGGCAACTAGCATTGAATCATGTGAAAATGACACGCATGCTGCTGGCTGGGTTGAGAGACCGAAAGTGTCCAGAGGTGTGAGTTCGAGATTCATGGTGAACAAGCCTCCGCTATCGATATTCAAAATGTTGTGGTGGCCGCGAGGGTCAGAAACAAACAAATAACGGTGATCTGGTGAAAACTGAGCCTTATTAATTCGCGCCCCTTCATCAGGGATTTCCAGTGTTTGGATTACTCTGCCACTTGTTGTAGAATAGACCTTCACCCTGCGCCAAAAGGATGCACGGGAAGCTGTCACAACCAAATGATCTGTCGATACCAGAATCTCGCAATATTCGCTTTTTTCAACCCCCTGCGACTCGTCGTATGATTGGCTTTTATCGTTCGCGGTGGAATCAGCTTGAGCCAACGATGCCATAGACCAGATTCCAACGTACTCTTCATTCGTCGTGATCAAATACTGGCCGTCACCGGAAAAGATTAAATTAGGAAGTGCGCTGAGGCTCTTAGGGCGGTGTTGACGTAAAGTCCGAGAAGTGATACTTTTGTGTATGCCTCCATCACGCAGACGCCATATCGTGATCATTTTTCCTGACGTAGATGCGGCAAAGCGAGCGTCGTGGGAGATCGCAATTTGACCCCTGCGATCAGCATCCGGTAACGTATAAATGTGCCCACCGGTCGCGATGTCAAAGACGTCAACATCACCGCTTTCTCGCCTTATGGAAGGAATCATTGACGAGGACGAGAATACTCTCGAGAGATGATCGTCCGGCGTAGACATCAGTCGGCGAAGATGTTGTCCTGTAGCTACACACCAGATGTGCGTCGTGTTTGTGGTTCGAAAATAACCAGCTATAAGCTTGGAATCTTTTGAATAGCCGACAGCTGCCAAAAGATATCGCTGCTGTCTGGGGTCCTCCGACTCTAGGTCCTTCGACTCCAGGTCCTCGGAAACTTGTCCAGCTGATTCCAGGTCATCTGAAACAGAGCACTCCAATCCACTGTCCTCTGAAGGTGCCGATTGTGAGCCCCATGAGCCAGGGTCTTTGAGCCATCGTGGCTCGTTGTCCGTGAATGGGCGCCATATGGCAATTGTGTCATCGGTATGAATGGACGCAAATTCGTCTGAATGATGCGACATATCGATTTGGATCGTCGTCTTTTCCGTACACGAGAATCTCTGCGCTAAATATCCAGTCTTCATATCGAAGATGCAAAAGTGGCAGTCTGAGGCTGCAACAAGTCGTGCCGAGTCCGCCGAAAACACGAGCGATACTATGGCACGGTCGTAGTCGTCGCTTGGATGCTGGGTGCTGAAGCGGTGCACAACGGCACCAGTGGACAACGACCAGACCCCAATACTCGCATCTCCACCACCACAGGCTAAGTATATGGAATCTGGCGATATAGCCGTAGAGTAGACTGGATAACAACCAATTTCAACAGGGTTGATCAGTTTTAATGCGGACCAGTGAGGATCCGGCTTCGAAACGCAGTCAATGCTCGTGGGAATGCAATTGGCAAATGCCTTGCGGATGGTACTTTCGTGGGGAGAGAATTGAAGTGCTGACCAATACAGCTGAAGAGGATACCTAGAGATGTCTGAAATCCAACGGCGAGTAAAAATATCAAAATCTTCGACTAGTTTCACAAGATCTCTGTCGGGGGATGCCTGATCATCATCCAGTTAACCTTCAGTAAGCGGCCAAAAGTTTTGTTGGAAAACTGACCTCGATCAAACGCAGCAGTCTACCCGGGATTTTCATCAAAGCTGAAGACTCGCCAAGTAAACACAAAGCTTCCATCCAGTACAGAAGGTTAACCCGAAGAAACCTGTGGAAGTTATCGTCCTCTCGTATGACATTCCCCGATTGCTCCAAGTGGTCGACCAGGTGACAACAGGAGTACCGTATATGTGGAGGGAATTGTCGACATGCCAGCTGAATGTCCATCCCAGATAAACCATCACCTGGCTGTAGATCACACATATTGTACCGCAAAGCCTTTCCATCTGAGAGCAGTCTGATGCAGTCAAGTCCAATTTGTTTGTGAGTTGCTTTGAAATCAACTCTGAACTGCCCTGCCTCTAAACTCAGCAAGAAATCGCGAAACGATAGATGAAATAGTCTGATTAGTGGGTTTTTGTCCTCAGAGATGTCGAGGACAGATTTGAGAAGACCAGCGATGCGGCGAATGTCGGTTGCTTTGGTGTTGATCAGGCTTGATAAAGACTCAGCGTGCAAAGGCTGCTCGAGGAGGATTATTTTTCCAATAATTTGACGGAAGCTCTGTAGCTGGTGGGAGTTCTCCATTCTGAACCCATATCCATTCTTTGTCAGGTTATGGAGGACAGGCAAGTACGTGGCACTCATGTTACCTCCAATTCCTCGATCTTCAACAATGCGAATTATGTACTCCAATTGCTCCTGCGGGCTTCCAAGTCGAAAATCCCCCACAAAGCGGCAAACTGTTGCAGCAAAGATGAAGAGAGGCCTAGCATGTTTGACAAGGATCTCAAGGGTTTCTTCCGCCGGCCAGTCCATTGGTACCTCCCGAAGAGCATTGCCCGGTACGCGGTTCCACCTGTCTTTGACTTTTGACAATGTAGCCCTCAGGTATGTTTCGATGTCTTTGTCAATGAAGGCCTCTGTAACCTCATGGAGGATTATCTCTTGATATGATCCTTTGATTGGACCAAGAGCAAACTTGATCGCAACATCGGGCCGACTGGTAATGAAGAGTTTGAGGCCGAATGACTCGGGCTTGACTAGTTCAGAGAGCAAAGCAACAAGACTCTCGACATCTCTATCATCTATGCACTCGTCTAGAGCATCGATGATAAGTATTTGTGCCTGTCCGGCTGGCAGAGATGACGTCTGCTGGAAGGGTTCCAAGAGTAGCTGCCGAAATTGCTCCGAAATCTGCTTAGAGGATATATCTTGGGAATTCTTGACGGCCTCTATGATGGGTTGACGAAGGTCCGGTCGTCGTTCGGCCAGTTGTCTAGCAATTGTGCTGAACACAAGACCCGCCGAGCTTCGGTCACTTTCTCCTCTTCGGAAGAAGAAGGAAGCTCCCAGAATATCAAGTTCTGCGCATTTCGCCGCGACGGTGCGAGAAATAGTGGACTTACCAGTGCCGGCCATTCCATTCAGCCAGAAGATCCTGCGGTCGGTCGGGTCCTGGGCCCAGCATCTGATGTCCTCGAGAAGCTCAACTCTGGTACCCGGAAGACATGGCTCTTCATGATGGTTATCTTTAGAGTCATACGCAGCGCCTGTGGCTACTGTCAGTTTGTTCAAGATACCATAATCAATCGACTGGCTGACGCTCGACATTGTCTCGAAGACGTTTTGTACTGCATCGACAATTAAATCAAGCCCTACGATAACACTGTACGTGACTACTTACGTCCAACTTCGACGATCTCCGCGAGTCTCTTCTCATTTTCAACCTTGGTCGGCAAAAGTATTGATAGCAGTGCCTTGGCATAGGCAGCTGCAGTCATAGCTGCGTAGCCTTGCCACTGCTTATTCTTATGAGAGTCAGAGTAGTCACAGATACCTCTGATCACTAAGCACGGAAAGTGATTCATAAGTCCCGCAGCTTCCATCTCGAAGCATAGAACACCTTTATCTGCAGCGAATTTATCTCGAGTATTCGCGTCCTTCATGAGTTGATTGGCAGATGCTATGAGTCCATAGAAGACGGCCGGATTGTCGTCATCTTCTCCTCGTTCTGGCCTAGATACTAGAAGATCTGGCTCGGGCGTTTCGATCGGGGTATTAGGCTCATGGACCACATGACTGAGGAAAAGTCTATCCGTCTCCGATGGCGGTCGATCGTACTTGCGACGCAGCTTTGGCTTCTTCGATAATGCGACATCAATCGCCTGGGGTAGGTTGCTCCCTTCTTCCTCAAAAATGACTCTCAGTTCAGTCACAGCCGCTCTGAGGACATCTGACGGGAGATTTAAAGACCGCGTAACCTTGAACTCCTGGTCCTGGATAGTCTTGCCGAAATCGTACTGAAGTACACCTGTGTGGCCGTCACGAGAAGAACTGACCACAACATCTCCGAGGCGAATGTCGTGTCCCGTTCTTTGACTAGGGGCACCGCCGCCAATTCCGACCATCAGGCCGATGCGAACGTTCGGAAAGGAGCCAAGCATACGCTGGGCAACAATTCCCGCCGTGGATAAACCGTATTCACCGTCGGGTAAGACCGCAATCACCACGCTGTGCTTTCCTATTCGGCCGAGAGTGTATGCATTGTTATCGTGAACTGGGATTGCTTCGGGCCGCTCGTGAGTTTCGTCGAGGAAGGCTCGCGCGGCGGTGTACTCGATGTCGATGGCGCATATCCACCCGACAGTGTATATCGATAAGTCGGTCATGCCTGAGAGCCAGTTGCGTTACATCGATGAATGGGAAGATCCTCGAAGTAGCTCCACGTTCCTTTGAGGGTGCTCGGAACGACACAGGTCAGGAATTAAGGGGAATATTCGACGGTGAATGCGATGAGGCAAGAGGGGACCCAACGAAAATGGAAGAGAAGAGAGGGGTAGAATCGAAACAGCGGCTGGTCTTGTGGAGCTCTCTCTTCGCCTGCCTGATTAGAGCCTGGGCAAGGCTTGCCTTCCGCGCTGGGTCGCGCACGACGTCCCTATCAGACGCACGGCAGCGGATTTGGATCTGACATGCATGGTTCTCCAGCTGAAGGCCAAAAAATGAGTCGCCACGTGATAGCAGCCAGCCTGGTGAGTCGCGAGAGAGACTGCACAATGACTGCGTATATGTCGTCAAAATTTAAAACCGATACCACATTTAATGTGGCCTCTAGCTGCATTGCAACCCTTACCATCGCCATTCCTTGCTTTTCTCCTCGTTGTCTTTGCCCTCACTGTCTTTACACCCATTAGCTCTATCCTTGTTATCTCTACCGTTGCCACTTCTGTCGTCTCTGTCGTCCTCATCTCTGTCATCGTCATCTCTATTGTGATTTTCTCTACTATTGTCATCTTTGCTGCTGATGTCTCTGCTACCGCTGTTATAGCTTATCCTCGATTCAAACTTCATCCCTAGTGATAGCCTCATGTTTCTCAGCCTTTCTTTATGAGCTAGATTCTCAATATCACTTTGTTGCTCACGGCATGGCAAGAAGTGCGTGTGTCGCGCAGATTTGAAATGAATCAAAGTTTCATTTGTAGCCTGTACTTCATGGGATAATCCTATAACAGCTAGAGAACCTGCATTTCGACACTAAAGGTCTCCTGAGGGTGAACGATCTAACAACATGTGCCCTTTATGTTGATAATCTCCTTGTTGTAACGCACAAACCCTATCAGACGAAACACTTCAAACAGGCCATAATCACTCAAAGCTTAACGCGCATCTTACCTAAAGTTTCAACATTCATATACCCTGAGACTTTCTGTATTAACGAAATATAATCACGGAAGACATGGCATGGGGATAATGCACATCAAACGATTACACATTCAATGTTGCTTCCAACATATGATACTCTAAGCCAAATCAAGATCATAATATGACTTCTGTGCCCATTCTTCTCGTCCACTTCGGCGAACAGATAGCTTTTGTATACCTACCATTAAGGCTTGCCCACGTAGCGTGAAAATATTAGTTAAATGGCCTAGAGGGCAATCTGTCCATGGCGGAGTGGGATATTGGCCATTTTGTTCCCGCATGATCAAGGATAAAGCCACAGGCCGCACTCGTACCTTCACTGAGCGCATTGCCAACGACAACGAGTTCTCAGGCCGGATAATGATATCGTGTTTCATGTCGATGTCCGCTGGAGTGTACGCAAGAAAGGTTTCCTGATTTTCATCGCCGCCTTGGGAGAGTATGACGAAATAACCTCCATTAAGAACACAGAAAGTAGAACCTTCGGTGTTTACGCCGTGAGCCTTCATCTTCTCTGTCACCGATGCCTTATCATCACACCAGTATGTCGCATTCGATCCGTATCCGAGAAGATGGCTGAAAAGTGAAAACGACGCGTCGTGGACATCGAAGTCATCGAATGGGGACTGGAGAACGTCAGCGGCTTGTACTTAGCCACCAAAAGCTGACTGCGTACCTGCTTAACAGACTTCAAAAAGTTGCTGATGCTGTGAGTGAATGATTCAACCCATTCGAGAACATCAGTGCCAGTATCGAAGTTGAGAGCCTGGCTTCTCCATTGGATCTCAAGCGATGCCACATTCCTTGGGGTTTCCCAGCTCCGAGATGTCACACGTATGCCAGGGTGTAAGACGCTAAAGCTCCGTAGCCTCAAAGTGCTTCCTTGCAGCCTAGTTTTAGGCCAGTCTGCCATCATGGGGAGACCCCTGGATGCCCAATCTTCGCGTCTGGAATATCCCTTGAGAAGTTCTTTCACAAAGTGAGGAGTTCCGGTTGCTTCAGCACGCCAGTCCGGGGCCCAAGCTGGCAGCTTCTCAGAGTACTGTTGGTGCCAGGTTCGACACAGTAACCAGGAGAATAACCCATTTCGTGCTACCTCGGCGGCAAACTCAATATAGATATCCTCTGTGGACTTTGAATAATCGGGAACAACACGGAAGAGTCTTTCATGCGGCTTGGGCTGAGCCAGATATTCGAGTCCGACTGGATCGACGTAAATATTTCGTTTTGGGTATCTAGGCTCTTTCGCCATGGACACGTCAGATGACAAAGCTGCCAGTGCGAACAGACGATCTCTATCGTCCGCACAGCCAAAGTGACTGAAGGTGTGCATGTTTTCGAGCAAAGTATGGCCGACTTTGGTATCCTCCAAGAGGACCGTACGTCTCCACAAGTTGCGCATCTGAGTCAATGCATCGACAGCCTGCTGGTTGGTTGTTCCGGTATCCGTTCCAAGCCTCGCAAGGATTGCAATGAGTCTGGTCCATGACAACGAAGATGATCCACAGTGCATTGAAACATCATGATTGCGGACGATCTCCTGGATGATCCATCGACGGCTGAACCAAGGTCGTTGAAGCAAGATATCCAAGGACGAGATGATGGCTGCCTTTTCGTTGGTATCAAGTTCTGGGCCAATCGAACGACTCATTCGGCTCAGGACGCGCATAGCTGTCTCCGCGTCATTCGCGTCGCCGAGCCAGACCAGAACACTATTGGCCCTTCGGTAGATGTCCGCCATGAGTGGGATCTGCGAGCTCTTTTCCCGCTTGTCGTTCTGGTTGATGCACACAGCATCTGCCCAGAGAAATCTGGGTCGATCTCTGAGTCTGAAACATCGAAGGGCGTTTGAAAGACTTGACGTGATGTTGAAGACGGTGTCTTGTCTGTTGAGGTGGAGGGTATGGTCGAAAGTTGGCGTACCCCATGTGTAGGATATCGCCTCAAAATAAAGGCCTTCGTCGTCATCGATATGGACTTCCCGAATGTAGCAATGTAAGGGTGCTTCGGGAGTTGCGGCAGGCAAAAGATGGATTACCCGGATATGGCGGTCTGTCGGCAGGGCAGCGTACTCGTAATCCATCGGCGAAGTTTGTGACATTGTTGCATCGAGCGGGCAAAGACACAAGCAAAATGTGGCATTAAAGTCAGAAAACAGAGTTCACAGGGTCGAGGGAGCACAAGTTTGGGTATTGGGATGCTCTGGGCGTGTACGTGCTTTTTCTTGAGTCAACAACAACTTGAGAGACATTGCTCTCAGCGCCGGGATGGCCTCAGTGAAACTCTGTTGGTTCTCTTCTGTTTCATACGTACAATCCCTGTAGGCGACGCGAGATAACGCGGCGAGGATTCGCCATACTTCAGCACCAACAATGTCAGAGATCATCTGGGCCAATTGAGTTCGCCGACCCAAGTTCCAACAGCAACTGAGAGTGGGCACTTACCGTCGCGGAGATGAAGATGAGAGCGGTTGCGAGGTCCACATTGTCGGATGCTACTCAGCGTAGGTGCCCCTCCTTGTGGACTTGGACCTCGTTGGTGGGGTTCCTGAATCGACATGAAGTTGTTGGTGATAGCCGCCACCAATGGGCCCAATTGGCGCGCGGCTGGCAGGCAACTGAAATCCGGCAATGATATTAATAACTTCCCTGCAACGATGTTTCCACTAGTGAATCCTACGTGTGCAGGGTTAGCATCGTCCTGCTAAGAAAGGCCGGCGGATCAGGGCATTTCGAAGGCGCTGCGGACGGATCACGTCACGGCGTAATTGGCGTCTGGTTAGTGAGTGGGTTCCCCAAAGGAAGCGCCAAGGTGGATCGCATTTTGGCCCAAGTTCATATATCACCCGTCAGTCCCTCCAAGCCGGTTAACTCGTTCCACGTTTATCTAAACCTCATTGTGCGAGTTTCGATCCCTTCACTTGAGCTGTTATCAGTCACGCTTGTTCTTTTTTCTCCTTTGGTTACGATTGTACGGCACGGACTTACCTTTCAATTACTTGAAGCAATGGAGCGTCAGGTTGGCCCCAAAGTCTCGCCCGATGGACCAGCTGAGGCCTTGCCCCGCGACCCGCTGCACGGTCGGTACACCGCACTGGTTCCCCTCCAACCATCACACGCGAAGGCTCTGTTCAAACATGTTGGCGGCGAGGAGAATGCCCATTTGTGGACGTATCTGTTCCCAGACCCGTATCTCGAGTATGCGGAGTTCGAGGCCGATGTCAAAAAATGGTCAGCGTCCAAAGACCCTTTGTACTTTACCGTGTTGTCGGGCCCGGCATCAGATCCGTCATCGGAGCCGGTTGGATTCATGACGTACATGTCAATCGTTCCGGCACACAGGCGTATCGAGATCGGATCGATTTGCTTTAGCCAAAAGCTACAGCGAACTCGGCAAGCAACAGAGACCTTCTATCTCCTGATGAAGGAGGCTTTTGACGAGTTGAAATTCGAGCGACTGGAATGGAAGGCAAACCATCTCAACAAGCCGAGTCTTGCGGCTGCAGACCGGCTCGGGTTTGTATTTGAGGGTATTTTCAGGTATGTGTTGATCGCGAGATCAGGAAAACATTAACTGACTTGACTTGTCATAGAAAACACATGGTCATCAAGGGAAGGCGCAGAGACACAGCCTGGTTTAGCATCACAGACGATGAATGGCCCGTCGTCAAGGGTGGACTGGAGTCTTGGTTGAGCAAGGACAACTTCGACGAGCAGGGCAACCAACGGAAGACTTTGAAGCAATGCAGGGATGTTTTCCAAAAGTGAAGACACCAGGTGTGCTTCACTGGTTCTTGGAATTTGTTCGATTACGTGGAGGAAAGACGCCTCTTTGGGTAGATTGGGAAGAAACCAGTAGAATCCTTTTGTCGGAGAACTGTAATTTAAAAACACCCAGGTTCCGTAAATAGTGGCAATAACGGATATTCACCAATGATGGCTTGCATGCTAAGAAGCTCATTTCTTGTCAGCACTGAGAAATATACGGAAATGCACACTTCCTCCACGTGTTGGGGCTTGGCCAAGTCGTCGTGCATCTTCCCCGCATTCTGGGTTCCCCCAAAGCTGGAGAAGATCGGTAGAAGGCGATTCAGGCTAAACTCAGAACCCCCCGATCAGGACTCGCCAGTGAACCGGGGCTTCGGAAAAGCGCCGAATCGTGACTTCACTGAACCGAAAATTGGTCTCCGGCCTTCCGATCCTCGACAACTCCACCTCCGGTTGTGAACCCGACGATGCAAGTTTTCCATGGTTCTTAAGCGGGGTTATCCACAGCCTCGGGATTCTGAAGACATGTTAAAGGCGGGGTGGGTTCTCGTAAGAAGACTACGCAAAGGCTGGGATCCTTTATTCCAAATGCTCTGTTGAGATCAGCCATTCCCAATCGCGTCATCATGAAGTGCAAGCTCTTGTTCTCGACGCTGGCCCTCCTCGGGCTCAGCCAAGCGCAGAACTCCACCTTCCAAAACCCAATCATCAGCGGCTTCAATCCGGATCCAAGTTGTGTCTTCGTTCCTGAACTTGATAATACCTTCTTCTGCGCGACGTCAAGCTTTCTCGCGTTCCCGGGTCTGCCAATCCACGCAAGTCGAGATCTGATCCACTGGAAACATGTCTCGAACGCCTTCAGCCGAGCAGACCAGCTTCCCGGCATGGCCTTTCTACCAAAAGCCACAAGTGGAATCTATGCACCCACTCTTCGCTTCCATCAAGGCACCTTCTATCTACTCTGTACACTAGTTAATCAACAGCTACCAAGAACCAACGATAGTCGATGGGATAACTTCGTTCTCACGGCAACAGACCCCTACAGCTCAGATTCTTGGTCTGATCCTGTTCACTTCAGCTTCCCGGGCTTCGATCCCTCACCGTTTTGGGATGATGACGGCAAGACATACGTCTCAGGCGCCCACACCGCAGCCTACTATCCGGGCATTATGCATGCCCCTCTAGACCTGGAGACTGGTGAGATTGGGGACATCATCATGCCTTGGAACGGCACAGGCGGACGATCCCCTGAAGCACCACATATCTGGAAACGAGACGGCTACTACTACCTACTTCTGGCTGAAGGTGGTACGCGCGAGAATCACATGGTTACGATGGCACGTTCACGCAACTTGACCGGCCCCTACGAGCCTGCACCTGGGAATCCTCTTCTTACTTCAGCGAACAACACAAGCTCGTACTTCCAGGCTGTCGGACATGCAGATCTCTTCCAAGATGCCAAGGGTCAATGGTGGTCTATTGCTCTAGCGGTTCGTGCCGGCGGCACATACGGCCAAGATCCAGGGGCTTACTTCGGAAACCTACCGATGGGTCGCGAGACGGTTCTCACGCCAGTCACATGGAATGAAGGGGAGTTCCCTGTCTTCACGCCTGTCACGGGCGATATGTCCGGCTGGCCGCTACCGCCCGAAGCTATTCCCGAGCAAGGCGAAGGACAACTCAGTGATGCAGACGATACCGTCACCTTCTCTCCTGGCAGCAAACTTCCGATCCACTTCGTACACTGGCGTCTTCCCAAATCAAGGAACTACGCCGTCTCATCCCCGGGACACTGGAATACACTCGCACTCAAGTCATCAGTTCTCAACCTCACAGCGTTTGACGCAGATTTTGCTTTGGGGAGGGGGCAAACCTTTGTCGGGCGCCGCATGGCGCACTCACTGTTCCGGTTCCGCGTGGAGGTGGATTGGTCAAAGTCTCTGACAAAGGAGGAGATGGAGGTTGGCGTCTCAGCAATACAGGATCAGGCGCAACATTTTGACTTGGGTATCGTCATGCTCAAATCCAATGGAAGTCAAGATCTGCGACCACATCTACGTTTCAGGGGTATTTCAGAGACACCCTACCGAGCGATGGAGAACCCTCCAAACCAAGTGTTCCCTCTGCCTGACGGGTGGGCTGGACAGAAGCTTGCTCTTCAGATCGAGGCGATCAACAGCACGCATTTTGCCTTCTCGGCCGGACTTGCTGGGCCAGGAGAAGACCCTAAAATGAAAATATTTGGTCATTGCAAGGGTACCGAATTGGTGCCCTACTACTCCGGTATGTCAAAGTCCACTGCATGTCTTGAATCACGCTGACATAGTTTCAGGGGTCGTCTTGGGAGTCTACGCCACCTCGAACGGGAAGCACGGAGAACAAGCATTCGAGACGTACATATCTAATTGGAGGTACACCGGTGTGCGGCAGCTTAGAAGCCAAGAGGATGTGGACGATGCCGACAGAGCTGGAGCTCGGTGATGATGATGCATCGGTGCAAGCGCTACTGTTCCCTGGGCTGTCGTTGCAACAATCTGTAAATAAGCTTTGCAATGGTTGCTCTTTCCAGTGAATTTTGGCAGGTCGCCAAGAGCCATCGGAATTATTTGTGATAGGTTACAATGTTGCGCTGACACAAACCCAGGGCCAAGGAACTTCTTGTACTCAACTTATCACAGGGCTAAACGTGTTTTTTGCGTGTAATGCACTGACCGTTCAACACGGTGAAACAGTCGTCTCTTGTCGAGCATACCATAGCACACGAGCACAAAGCTTAAAAGTCTGATCCGCGCGACCTTCTCAAAACATCTGGGCTATTACCACCCATCTGGTCCATGAGCCTATCCGGACCCAGTATTGTCGTTCTGCCTAACTCCCCAGATCCGACCCCACCTAATGGATCCTTACATGCTCCATGATCCTAGATTCGACTTTCATGTCTACTTACAGCGGGACGCCCTGATTGCCACATCTGTCACGGTATCCATCGGCCTCTGGGTGAGAAATCCCAGCTGCATCCAGCCAGCCGTCACATGTCGGAACCATGAAAAGACACTCGGCCTTAGGATCAAGAGGAAGAGTTTCGCCAAAGCTGTCCGTAAGTTGCTTTTGGCCGTTGGCATCGTAGCACTTGGTCGGGCCAATAAGGATCTCTTCTTGGGTCAATCCGTACTTGCTGATGAGTGTGTCAACAGCCCCGTTCTGCATAACGCCATTGTCTTGGCGGTCCAGCTGTAAAAGGCTGTAGCCAGTCCACGTTGAGCCCTCTTGAACGCACATGCCGGCGTTTCCGTACTCCGCGCATGACGGTCGTCCTTTAAAGCGATAAATGAACATCCTTTGAGCTTGAAGTGCAAGAGCAACCGCGCGGATCTTGAAGGTGTCAATGACTCTCTCTTGGATGTCGTTCTGGGTGAAGTTCTGATGCACCCCCAAGAATTGGCCTTCGTAGAGGTTGCTGTACATGCCGCCCACAGATTGCAAGAGGTTTGCGTCCAGACTTGTTTGGACAGCCTGCGAAACTGCTTTCTGATATGTTTGTACAACCGTCGCCATGGTACTGCTGATTTGCGTCCATGCGAGGAATTGATCTGTTCCACTGGGGACTTTCAGTTGGGTGTTGATGAAGTTCAATCCCCCTCTAACCGAAGAACCTGCGGTACTTATAGCTCCAGTCAGAGGCACAACCCCCAACACCGTATTGAACATTCTAAATGCGTCCTTCAGAGGGGTGACGTTGTCCTGAGGCTTTGGGTAGAAGTCGGTAACAATCTCGGGAAGAACCATCGACATGATGCTCGAGGCGAAAATGATGGCCGTGTTCACGGAGTTCATGTAGCTATTCCAGTTTTGCATGGCTACTAAGACGTACCTAAAGGAAAAGACACCACCCACCGTTAGTTACTAACCCAAGAAAGTCGGCTCACGAGCGTAGAATGATGACTGACCAAGCAGGAAACGGAACGGGCAGGCATGGTTGGCCCGCGTTGCAAAAAGAATCCAACCCACTATGTATTGATTTGTATCAGCTTCGCCCTCAAATGCATCGTAGCTAGACTGTCAAAATACCAAAAGAAGTTGGGTGCACCGAAGTTTGAAGAAAACAGCTGCACGTTGTTGGACTTTCCTTGGGTCATGTTGAATGCATAGTCCTCAAACCATTTATCGATGCGTAGCGTCTTCCATGTATTGGCAGTCAATGGCTCAGTTTTGCACGTTTTGTCAGGTCCGCTGTCTTGGGGCAAAGGTGACGCCAGAGCTAACGAGAAGCTCAAGGCTTGAATTATCGTGACTATCCGCATAATCGAGACGGTGCTAAGGCGGAACTTCAATGACAGAAATTGTACGATGAACAAAATTCAGAGATTAGCGAATGGTAGTGTTTGTCGTTCGAATGAGTGACGGAGGCTGCGCTGCAAAAGAGTGACTGAAGGTACCACGGATAGGCTCATGTACATACGAAGCTCCTTCCTCAAGCAGTTATAACAGTCACTTGACGTAATCGAGAAAGATTCCCAATGACGGACGATGTCTGGTTTGTTGTTCCTACTTCGGATAAGTACGAGTGCCTCGGACTCAGATTATGGAGCTGCCCCTCAACAAAAATTCCACCCCAAAGCCCCTTATTTTAGGGCCAGCGCTACATACTTCAGTTGAGCCAAGCCTAGGGGTCATGCTTCTCTGATGACCCGTTTCCTGCTCTGTACTATTCATGTTAATAGCTTATCTGATGAGAATTTCTGATTGGTTCTCAGCTTCATTCATTGGTTGAAAGATTTATCCGGCTTGGATGGCATGCGTCAAAGCAACGGGCTAAGGTGGGAACTGAGCACAGCCTCTCTATCCGCGGACATCCGAAACTCCACGATGATTGTGGGGACTGGACGAAAGGAGGCTCCTTTGGCCCTTCACTGCTAAATATGCTATGCTCCAGATGGGGAAGGTATATCCGCATGCCCAGGGCCTCTGTATCGAGATCCATGAATGATGTTATCGGTGGCTTTGGGGACAACGCAACTCTCTTACAGGGTAGGCTATGACTTATTCGACAAAGGGAACGCAACTCAGCCTGGACATTTTGATAATAGGAATGGCTTCGAATGCCGCTTCAGATGAATTGTGGTTGCAAAAACACTGACTTTAGCATATACTTGTTGAAGTCGGACGGAGTGGGCGAGGATCGTCTCTTGTCTTTGAATGGCCCGAAAATCATGCTCGCCAAGGACAGGGGCAAGCGCGCGGGATCTTCAAACGCGGTTGCTATCCTGGTCATAACACGAATTTGAGCCGTCTCGAGCTCGAGTCAGAGCTACTTTGTCGCTCGTGGCGGGGTTGAAATCAACAACCTTGTGGACGGGAAATTTCCGAGACGGAGTGTCTCCGATGCGGCGAAGTTACACAGTCGTTAACATTGTCACAACACCATTGGGGATCTTTTTATTTTCCAAGGCCCTCGATATCTCTTCTGTTAGATGGCCCGTCTTTTTGTGACGACGCATTCGGCACTATCATAGAGCGCTTGTCGCGCCGGGTCGGTACATGGGCATTGTTATCCAGCATAGATATCTGGGACGGCTACGACATCTTCCCAAGCGTTCAACGAATGATATAGAGACGAACATCTACCGAAAGATCGAAAGATACATAGAACCGATTCGACCGAGCCTCGCAAATCCATCCACTCACGTACAACGGCCTGGTGTGCATTTCTTGGCTGTGATGATTTTCTCTTCCAGTCTTCTGATGAGATCCTGGTATCTGGATCAGATGAGCTCCTGACGCTCACTCGCCGCCACGGTGGTTGTCGGCATTCTCGTCGTGGTAAAGAGGCGGGCAAACTGCAGTCTTCTTCTGGAAGATCCAACGCTTGATCCACCAAGGCAAGACAGTGAAAAGCTGGTAAGAGGCGTGAGTCCGATCAGGAACGCCGAAAACGTAATCTAATTCTTCCAGAGACTTTTGCTTCGTTTCAGGTACGAATAACTATGCTGTGTCAGTGATTTGGTGTAACGCACTCAAGTAGCGGACTCACGAATATAAGACCTAAGGCAACTAAGTTCAGTCCAGCATAGAACGAGAAAGCTCCAGTCGCCGTCATTGCAATCAACATTCGAGGGAAGGTAAGGGAGAGAACGGAAGCCCAGAAGTTGTTGGTGGCAACGGCCCACGACATGCCGATCTCGCGATGCGAAAGGGGGAAAACCTCGGCCGAGTACATGAACGGGACCGGGCCTTCGCCGGGAGAATAAAATGCGGCAAAGAGGTAGACAAAGGTGGCAACGGCGGCGATTCTGGCTGTGCTGTTCTCGCTGTCCTTGTCGATGAGATAACAGAGACCAGCCGCTACACCCAAGAAGTCAACGTCATGCAACAACGACAAAGGTTTCCTTCGGAGCATCGACAAGACTTACCAAGCAAGGTCCAAAACATATTCGGGAACGTGAAGAGCAGCAATGTTCGGCGACCAAAGGTGTCGATCGTCCACACGGCAGGCCATGCGAAGGTGAAGTTAATCAAGCCGAAACCGAAGCTAGCCCAGAGAGCCGTGTAATCGCTGATGCCGCTCTCCTTGAAGATGGTCGAGCTGTAAAAGGAAATAATGTTAACTGTCAGAAGGTTAGCATGTACTGATTGAGTCATTGTAGAGATGGTCTGACGACTTACTTCCGCACATCTGCTGTGCAATCATGACGATGCCAGCAGCCCATGTCGCACGCCTAATACGAGGGATCGTGAACAACTCAACAAATCGAGTGAATAAATTGCTGGTAGTCTTGAGGCCAGCCTCGCGCACGAGAGCGACCTCATCCTCCAATAGCGCATGGATGTAGTAGAGATCGCGGGCCGCCTGTAGAGGTGTATTGCGCAGCCGTAGCAGCGAATGCCAAGCGTTGACCGTCTTGCCCTTCTTCAGGTACCAACGAGGGCTCTCAGGGCAGAAGTACGTGCCAATCACAAGCGGCACAGCTGGGATGAAGGCAGAGCCAAACTGTAGTCGCCATGCGATGTCTCCGGTTTTACCAACAGCAAGGTTGGCGCAAGTGCCCAGGAAGATGCCTGTTCGGTTTCGCAATCAAACTTGTCAGCTATTTTTGAAACGAAGAAGACTACACCTGCCTAACCGCGCCAACTCTGTTAGGACTACTCACCAAAGGCCGTCCAAACTTGCCAAGACATGACCAGCCCGCCTCGGATGAGAGTGGGGGAGTTCTCGGCGGAGAATACCGGAACTGTAACCTCCTTCAAACCCATTCCGATTCCGAGGAGCATTCTGTCAAAAAGAGTTATCAGCGAATGATCGATTGAGTTGTGATCCGGTCGCCGACGGAAACTCACCTGCACACTGCCAGTTGGCCCCAAGTCTGCGATACGGCCATACCGAACGGAGCGAGTACAGAAAAGATGGCAGCGACGAAGATGACGCCACGGCGGCCCAGGAGCTCGTTCATGGGGTCGGATATCCAGCCGGCACTGTAAACCCAGTTTTAGTCGAAGCTTAATGGATACGCGTAAAGCTTGTTTGACGGTACTCACAACAGACATATGGTGATGTACGGCATGGAGTTGACGAAGCCGATAATCCAGCTATTCTTTGCGCAATCACCCTCGTTGGCAACAGGACCGCAGGCAGAGCCAGCAGAGTCGGGAATGCCAAGGGCAGTAGGGAAGGCGAGGTTGGCGCCGTTGGATCCGGTCTGTTTCTCAGTGAGCCGATCCACGTAGAAACGTTTGTAGGATTCTAAACATACCTGATCCCATCCTTGAATAGCTGCAGCAATCGAGTTGAGGATGATGGTGTAGTACAAGGCCCACGGGTGCTTCCATCTGTGGGTGACTTCCTCTCGAAGAGCAATTTTCTCGCTCTCGTCAAGTTCATCCAGAGTCTCGAAGAGGGCCGGGTTCTGCGCCACCAGGGCGCCTTTCTGGAGAAGCGGGAGGATGTCGTCAGGCAAGCCTTGAGTCTTCTGATATACAGCAACCTGCTCCATGAGTTGAGCCTTGGGAATTCCCTTCAGAGGGTTGCGGATCTCCCCCTCGAGATTCTGGGTGAGCTCGGCGATGCTCTGCTTCTTCTCGGCCCCATCATGGTGAAAGACATTGTCCTTGTGGACGCTGTGATATGCATGAGTGAGCTGTCTGTGGTGTTCAACTGAAAACAAGGGTCGTAACTCACGGTGAATCGGTGTCAAGTCTCTTCTCCGACATCTTGTTTTTACTCAAACGTCAATAGTGATAAGTTGCTACAGACGAAGCTGAAAGTGCTGGCAAGTATAGGCGGTCCAAGCCAAAGTAAGAGTCTTCCAGGCCCAACGTGAAGAGCACCAGTCTCAACGGTGAGCAAAATAGGGTCGTCCCGTATGAAGCCGGCGGGATGTAGCGGGGGTGATTAGATTAAATAACCATATTACCCGCAGACGGTATGCCTGACTGGTCTCTAGTAGGCGTTCTCTAGAACCGCGGGGAACGTTGCCCATCCATCGCGTGTACTCATCCGTACTTTCGAATGAGCGGGCGTCTGGCGAATATGTCACCGGGATGTGGAGGGCCCTGAAGTCGTAAAAGGTACACCAGCATCAAAGAAACTTCTGTCTGGCGAACAATGAGGCAGACTAACCAGCCTATCTCAGCAAGATGCGAGCATCCAAATAGAGCCCGTCTCTACGCAAAACTGCGGGGTTACCGCTGTCCCTCTATGCAGCTAATGTTACAGTACAGCATAGCAGCCTGTCGGTGTCGCCTTCAAAGGGTGTATCAAGGCTTGGCCTGGTTGGTCGCATGGCCGTTGGATGATCCCACCCTGACAAGAGAAAGCTTAGGTAGCTTGGTGAAGCTTAGCTGTCTGAAGTACCGGAAAGTACGTGCGCCTCGTCAAATGTCTGCCTTTGAGTGTGTGCAAGATGACGATTGCTGCCGCGTTGGGCCGTGAGTGCGTGGGCAGCGCATTACGCGAATGTGCCCTTGGGCTGTCGAGGCGGCACGCAGGGGTCCGATCACGTTAACCCCCGCCATTGTCAGTAGGGCATACGGTTGAGGTCGGTCGACTCAACCTGTGGGCTTCTCCGCACCAAGCTTCCCCGGATTGTAAATGTGGACTCGTCCGGTAAAGATCATCGCTGGGCTGATTTAGTTGATTTGGTTGTAAGAACGACCAACGGAGATATGAAAGCCTGGTGAGAAGAGCGGTTCCTTTTAGGGCCTAACAGTGCCCACAATTGATTTGCAAGACACATATGCTGGCAGAAATGCTGTCAGATTGATGGACCCGTTTGCCTGGTTTAAGATTCGTCGTGCTACCGACCTCAATTCTGAAGGCATCCAAGAGCTGCGATGGTTCTAGCATTCGTCAAATGATGGCCGGCTCCCGCATCGGATGGCACTCTGCGTAATGTCTCATGCAACCCATCCGTGCCGTGCATCGTATGACTGAGCGTGGCACTCGGCTGGGGATAGCCAACACCAGATCGCAAGACATGGTCTTCAATCGGACCCAACTTCTTCAGCCCCTACGAACTGGTGGGTTGGATGGTAGTCATCACTCTCGTGACCTAATTGCATGCAGTCCACCAAGCTCGTCATGTTCGTGTCGGCCCACTATCATCGATCTCAATCCTGCGCCAAAGAAACACCAAGAGACTTCCCTCGGCGGCATCCAGCCAATTAATCTACGTTAATTGTCAGTGGGGAACGGACATGCAGCTTGGAAAATGCAAGAATTAGAGGGCCAAGCTCCAGCTGCCAATCCGAGTGTTCCGACGGGGGCCTAACGGGTGCCGAAGATACCGGATGCTGACGCTGACAAAGCGCCGCGATTGGACCTTTTGTTGCAACGCAGCTGCACACGACGAGCTTCCTCTCTCGAGCTTATCCCTTAGCTGCGCCGTTCCATCACGAGTGCTGCGAGCTGCGAAAGATGGCGGGCACATCGTCTACTCACGTGCGGGCGTCGATGTCCGGACTGCTGGTCTGCTTCTTCGGCATCTTACTCGCGTACTCCGTCCGGGCGGGGCCGGAGCAGGGGCCGGATGCTCGGTGCCCGGAGTATGTCGCACGTCATGGTATTTGAGCCCGTAAAGTTCTTGCTTATCGTAGGATTCTCATGCCGAAAGGATACGTGACAGCTAATGATGGTTGCCAGCACCGCTGTTATGGCTGCACTCGGATGACCCGTTCAAGCCGAGCGACCTTCTCACCCATGTCCGCCACACTACGCCGACGGTCGATAGGAAGCCAATCGGTGACCTCCCGTCGCTCGATCTCGACAATTTGGAGATTCTGAATGCGTATGGGAACAAAGACCATCTTGCGCTTGTATCCAACGATGATCCATTGACCTATCCGAAATGGCTTTACGGAGAAGCCCCGGACGAGATCGGTCGCATCCACAACTCCACGCCGTGTGTCGTAGTTCTGGTCGAGAAGAACGAGCGCGAGCTGGATGCGTTCTACTTTTATTTCTACTCATTCAACGAAGGCCCGAACATCACTCAAGTGTTGGAGCCTCTCAATCGCTTAGTCAAAGGCCCGAAGGTAGCTTCAGGAATGCACTTTGGGGATCACATTGGAGACTGGTGGGTCATATCATATACGCTTACCGAGCCAGACTGACGACTTTAAGGGAGCACAACATGATACGCTTTAGAGATGGTAAGCCGAAAGGTATTTACTTCAGCCAGCATGTAGATGGCGCAGCGTATGATTGGGATGATTCAAAACTCACAAAAATTGACGAACGGGTATGTAAACCCATCAAGCTTCGTTTCTTTCAGTGCATTGATCTGATGTATCATAGCCCGTTGTTTACAGTGCGCGTGGATCGCATGCCAACTATGCATCGTCAGGGTAAGGCATCATTCCTCGTGGGACAATAGACCTCTCAGCTGACCAAACATCTCAGGCTTCAAGTTCATAATGCAGCTTTAGTAGACTACTGTGACGAAGGTCAGAAGTGGGATCCCGTCCTGTCAGCCTACTTCTACCGTTTTCATGCCGATTCCTTCACGATCACCAGGATAGAACCGCCCGAGCAGTCGTTCCCGAAGCTTGCCTCGGATGCAAACTTGACGTCACTCTTCTACTACACCGGCCGCTGGGGTGATCTACAATGGCTTGATTCCGACCCGCGACAGGAGACAGTGCCTCGCTTCGGACTCAAGCGCTTCGAATCCGGGCCAACTGGACCAAGACATAAGCACCTCGTGCGAAAGGGACTCAAGCCAGATCACAGACGGAAGATGGGATGGACTGAGTGGGCGGTGGGCATTTACATGGCCTGGTACCCATGCTGCTTGAAAGGCTGGAAGAAGTGGGTTCTGTTCGGAGGCATCGCTGTGATTTTGTCCGCCATCATTATTGGAGCTGTGCTTGGTGTCAGAAGATATAGAAGAAGGAAGTACCAGAGACTACAGGCGGAGGATATACCCTTAGATGACTGGGTACTAGAGGAAGATTCTTTACTTTCATCATCAGATGAAGACGATGAGATTGGGAAGGCCGGGAAAAACAAGTCGAAGTAGAGAAGAGCAGAACGAATTAGACAAGACTTACACGATCAAGTATAACGTGTTAGAGATGACTGGCATATTCTTCCAGAATTATTAGATAGTCTCGTTCAAAGTCAAGTTTCGTGCGAGAAATAACGCTCATTAAGGAAAAGTCTGCAGATGTTGTAGGACCCAACATGGCCGGTTTTCTCTAGAACTTCCACCTTCCCACCGATCTCTGTGTTCTGCGCGAGGAAGCATAATGTTGTGTGAAAGTATTAATGAGATAGTTGGTTTTAGCTACTATCAATTCTGAAAGCAATAAATGTCTGTTATTTCACGACCTCCAATACCCTCCCTTTCTTTGTCACCCCTATCGTCCTCGTCGTCTCTATCGTCCTCGTCGTCTCCATCGTCCTTGTCGTTAGTTTTCATTTCCTACATCCTAGGTATCTTTGTCTCCCTAACTGTTTCTATTAGCTTTGTTGTCTCTGTTGCATGTTTCATTCCGATGTGATTTCATCCACACATTCCAATTTGAATATGACGGGAAAGATTATGCAGCAAGCAACAACAGCAAAAGTCTGCCCACAAAGCAAACTCCGACATATTGAACAGGAGCCACATCAATATCGTGAATTCAGATATAGGCAAGTTTGATATCGCCCACATCGGGACGATCCGACAAGAGTGGATCATGATTGCCGAACACTTTGACCTTGGCGCCAAGAATTCTTCACGAACCTTACCGATCGCAAAAACGTAAGTCAGCGGCGTTCAAACAAAGACCATGTCCGTGTCTATATTGCCTCAAATATGTTTTCTTCATCCGTTAGTGAGATTGACAACCATCATATTCGGATTACTCGAACCTCTACGCCGACTCTCCAACGGGATGGTAAATTCATCCGAGACGGAGTCCTCACCTTCCCAAATGCATACAGAATGGCAGTCTGATCTAAGAGATAGCTCCCTCCGGGAAGTCAAACGGTATTTCCGTCCTATGGGCTGGCCAGTACTGTTGATCGCCAGAACGTTAAGACGTCGTCAGTGAAACTCAAAGCGGGGATTCCCTAGTCCCTGAAACTGCAGCACCACCCTATGACCGGTTTTATGGGTGAACAGATGTCGAAACCCGGGACGGTCGGACGCATCGTTTGAAACGGCAAACTTTCTACCATGATGTATTTTAGACACGTGCTTGGCGTTTCTACCTCTGCATCTCTAATTACGGGCAATTTATCCTCATCAAAAGAGATTCAGAAATTCACAGCATACTGCAGATAAGATGGCGACGGCATTTTTGATGGGAGGTTACAACTTCAACCCGGACAAGGACATTCCGGATTTGACCGGGAAGGTCATCATAGTTACAGGCGGAAATGCCGGCCTCGGCTTGGAGACGATTCGGCAAATCTCCAAACATAACCCCGCGCACATTTACCTGGCGGGTCGCTCAAAGGAAAGGGGCGAGAAGGCCATCGAGGAGCTGAAGAAGGGAGGGGCCAGCGTGTCGCCCATTTCGTATCTGCCCCTGGATCTCTCATCATTTGAGAGTGTAAAGGCCGCAGCTAAGCAGTTCAAAGAGGAGTCTCAGCGCCTTGACCTGCTAATTAACAATGCCGGCATTATGTCGACGCCCGACGGCCTCACCAAGGAGGGCTATGAGATCCAGTTCGGCACCAACCACATGGGCCACGCCCTCTTCACCCAGCTCCTCCTTCCCGTCATGAAGAAGACTGCAAACGAGAATCCAGACGTGAGGATCGTCTTCCTCTCCTCCGGCGCTGAAGGCTGGGCACCCAAAGGCACGTACGAATTCGACAAGCTCAAGACCAAGATGCCCGAGATCGCAAGCCGCTACCGCTACGGCATCTCCAAGGTGGCCAACATCCACTACGCTGCGGCGCTCGCCGAGCGCAACCCCGAGCTCAAGGTCACGAGCGTCCACCCGGGCGTCGTGGAGACCAACCTCGCCCAGTCCATCATGAACAACTCCAACTTCCTCGTCGGCATGGTCGTGTACCTCGGCGTCAAGGTCGTGGCGGTGAGCCCGCAGAAGGGCGCGCTCAACCAGCTCTGGGCCTCGTTCAGCCCGGACGTGAAGAGCGGGACGTTCTACCACCCGGTGGGCGTGACCGGTAAAGGTACCCGATTGAGCGAGAACAAGGAGAAGCGGGATGCGTTGTGGAATTGGACCGAAGAAGAGCTACGGAGCCATCTATAGAGAATTCTAGGATGAACTTCGGTAACTGCCCGGGGCCTTGAGGTGGGCAGAAATAACGTGTACGACTTTACATGCGAATGAAGTCACCCGGCAGTCCAGTCTTTTCGTATTGCTTTTTTCTGCCTTGTAACTCCTAGCGCAGTGCGGAGTCGAAATAAAGTGTTCAAAGACCGGCTCGTTTCAAATATGTTGGCTCCCGTGGCTGGAATTGGTTTGCACCTCGCTGCATGATCTCCCAAGACGGTTTGATTTTGCCGGTAAGATTGCGCCGTGAGGTGTTTAGCGCGCCTGAGTAGGCTAGGACCAACGTTAGCTCACCCACACGAATCGGCCAACTAGCAAACTGCCAGAAGAGAAATAGACAGGGTTGGGCGGGCTTGTCGGGACCCGACAACCATGTTTGCAGGTGCCCACATTACGAGGGGAGTTGCATTGTAAATCCGGTTCACCGTTCGTTGGTTCCCCTTCTTTTGATAGAAGGCTCGCCGTCTCAGGACTCGTCTAAACTTGTAACAAAATGACCTGGTCTATCGAATTTCCTAGTATGAAGTGGGATTTGCCCTTGCTTGCCATCAAGCAAGGCCTTTTGAGCCTCACATCCCCCGAGGGCAAGTTTACGCGTCAGCCCGTATCCGCTTAGAGAGCCTCCTATTCCCCACAAGGCGAGTCGGCCGTCGGAAGTCCTAGCGTCTCTGTCTTTTGCAATTAGGGCTTTTAAGGTTAATCACACCACTTTAGGTGAGCCGACAGCTCCGAGTAAGATTGATTAACATGGCTCTGGAATATATGGCAGCAGGCCTCTGCTGGAAGGGATGTTATTGCGAGATCTTTTTTGGGTTGGCCCCGGAACTCATTCCGGCGGTCGGACGCTCGCCGACGAAAATCATGGAGATCATCCCAACTCCTTTTCTGTTTCCCTCGATAGTTGCATGAATCCTGCTGGAGACGTCGGTGGGATAAGGTGGGATATCATTCCCCTTTCTTTTTCCTATTTTTCACACAGGGCGAGCCGCAAAATCCAGTGGAGCATACAGCCTTGCCTTGCCTTCTGGGGCAGAACATGGATGGGATCGGGTAGATCGGCAGGGTAAGCCCAAGCCAAGAAAAAGCCAAGATGCCATTGAGATTGAGCTGCCTGAAGCGGCAGTCCTTCCCAGCGCCCACGATTCGAGAGCACAGCAATGTTTCTTGCCAAGCCTTTCAAAAGTCTTGGGCAAAAAGCTTCGTAGCCACGCTGCAGAAGTGCGGGAACGGTCCATCTGTGCGTCTAGACCACCTCAACAACTTGCAGATGGTTCGTCCCAAGGACCTGGCCGTGATCTCATCGCCGAGCCCGCTTCTCAGAACTTCTGCTCGCCGATATCCCAGCAAGGAGGGCCAGCTCACGCGCTCCACGTGCGCCACGGGAGTGCAGAATTTGAAGCTCGAACCATTTAATGAAAGTGGAGCGAGTCTCCTCAACGGGGGGTCAGCAGCATGGAACCTCCGGCTGCAGGTCCAGATTGGAGGGCTCGCTCTCTAAATCATCGTCTCCTCTGATGAGCCGGGGCATGTTTACAGCGATGAGCCGACCATCCGAAAGAGGCATGGCATTCTAGCTGCTGACAGAGGACGTATGACTGGGCAGACAAACGGCCCAGGATGGAGTGAATCTCCCTCCTTATAAGTAACCTTAAACTTCCCCCTTCTCGAACTGTTTCTAGATAGCTTCATCGTGCTCTTCACACTCACCTTCATTCACTCTTTTCACCACACTCCTTTCAAAACCAACCTCAGTCTCTCTTTAAGAAAGCAAGGACTTTCTGTACATAACTTGAAGTTTATCCTTGTGTTGACCACATCCCATCCACCACCGAAACGATGCGCTTCCTTCCCATGATCGCGGGCTTCAGCGCCCTGGCCGCCGCCGCCCCCGCTGAGCTCGACACCCGCGCCTCGTGCACCTTCACCGACGCCAAGACGGCCATGTCCAAGAAGACGTCCTGCACCGACATCGTGCTCAACAACGTCAAGGTCCCCGCCGGCGAGACCCTCGACCTCACCGGCCTGAAAGACGGCACCAAGGTCACCTTCCAGGGCACCACCACCTTCGGCTACAAGGAGTGGGAGGGCCCCCTCATCTCCGTCGGCGGCAAGAAGATCACCGTCACCGGCGCCTCCGGCAGTCTCATCTCCTGCGAGGGTGAGCGCTGGTGGGACGGCAAGGGCGGAAACGGCGGCAAGAAGAAGCCCAAGTTCTTCAAGGTCAAGATGAACGACGGTACCATCAACGGCCTCAAGATCAAGAACACCCCCGTCCACGGTTTCTCCATCAGTGGAGTCACCAACCTCAAGGTGTAAGTTTTCATGTTCAACTACGCTTTATGTCCCATGATCACTGACACGAGTATGCAGCAACAACGTTGAGATCAACAACAAGGACGGCGACTCCAAGGGCGGCCACAACACCGACGCCTTCGACGTCGGCCAGTCCACCGGCGTGACCATTTCCGGCGCCAAGGTCTACAACCAGGACGACTGCCTCGCCATTAACTCTGGCACCAACATCGTCTTTGAGAATGGCTACTGCTACGGCTCCCACGGCCTGTCCATCGGCTCCGTCGGCGGACGCACCGACAACACGGTCAAGAACATCGTCATCCGCGACTCGACCATCGAGAAGGCCGACAACGGCATCCGCATCAAGACCATCGCTAAGAAGACCGGCTCCGTGAGCGGCGTCACCTTCGAGAACATCACCCTCAAGAACATCAACAAGAAGGGCATCGTGATCCAGCAGGACTACGAGAACGGCAGCCCCACTGGC